GTGTAGAACTAATTATAGCTCGAAGATGATACCTCCAGCTCCATTTTGTAAGAAGCCAATCTAGCCATTACTACGGCAGCAGCTTCCTGATCAAATCCTTGCACCAAGTCCTAGAAACATAGATTTATTGCACCATCAGTATCAACACCAGTATGCACCCTAGAAAGTTCATCGAATCCCTTTCAGAAAGAAATGTCATAGGAAAAAGTTCCCAGAGAAAGAAATGCACAAAAACATACAGCATAACTTGGAAAAGCTTATCATTGATTGATAGAGTCTGAAATTACAATGAGGATGACTGAACAAACAGGATGACTGAACAAACATCGAAACAAGCTTCACAAGAGTTTTAAAATGAGCTTTGAATCCTTGGATGTTAAGTGTATAAAACTTCTCTAGTTATCTCAAAATGGAAATTCAACTGCATAATACGGGGGAAGGGAGCAGTACTACTTCAAAGAATACAGCTCTTCAATTCAGAAATGTACTTCCCATGAAAAATATCAGTCTCATGAAGTACTAGTCAAAAGACAAATGTAAGATAAAAAGATAAAATTAGAAACAAATAACAGTGATATCATTCACTATGCTTGGGCAAAGATACATGTGAACTATACAAAAAGAACAAAATCGACTTCATTGTATTACAAATGATAATATAAAATCAAAACTCGTCATTACAGACCTCAGTTCCAACAACAGCATCAAGCCATCTCCTAGTAATGGTTGTAACTCGTAGTTTTGTTTGCCCATCAGGGCTCTGATAACTGCACAGTCAAGAACCAACAAATTTTGGTTACACGATAACATCTTCTTTTTCTAGTATACCTCACGATATAAATTGAATACAGAATGTTCTATCTCAGGTTACATTAACTGTTTCCTAAAGAAATAGTAACAATAAAAAAAAAGTAGAGTTGAAGTTCTCCAATCACCTTGTAAGAAACTGTATGTACAATTGTGGATTTATATTGCCTGAAGGATCTGACTTCTCACTAGATGAAACATCATAGAAAACTGTCAAGCAAGTGTTTTTGTCGAGACCACAGAGCTTCCAAGCTGTAGTATTACCCTCACCAGTAACTGTGCTGGAGACAGCAGGTCCTTTCTGCATAAGACTACATGATCAGTATCAAATAATTTCTGAAACTGTCATATTTGAGGATAAATCTTGGTTTACCAGGACATTTCTTTCAGGTTAGCCGTCTAATATTAGGTCAATGTATTACGGCTGAGAATATGAAAGTACACCAACCTTCTCAAGAGATGTGCAAGGACCAATTATCCCTTGAATTTTAATATCCTTGGAACAGTTGATCTCTAATGTAGCACTAGAACAAAATTAATGCATCAGATTCATGATCAAATTGTTTAAGGAAAAATAAAGCACATCCATGCAGAAGAGAGACGCATCATTTTAAGAAATACTCACTCTACAGAATACAAGCAAGATAACTTCAAATATTTACCTCTGAAACAGTTAAAATATGGACATCTCTAGCTTAATGGAAGTCTGCCCTCTCCTTCCCTATCCCCTAGGAAACCCTTTTCACTCTTCTACTTAAGGTAAGAGTAAAGGAAGGGCATTTTGGGGCTTATGCAGGAGATAATCCGTTGTTTGTGAAGGTGGTATAAAATAATATTGGTAATAATATTGGGGCGAACATTTTAAATGTTACCAAATAGAAAGAATTTCACATAATTGGGACATACTCAAGCAGTTTTTACCCAAAAAGTTCATTTCTTGTCTACAATTCCCTTGTCTCATCTTCAATGTTAACAACCCGAGCTTCATTCTATCCTCAGAGAAGAAGCTAGCTGGTGGAATAGTCGCTCATACATCGGTTATTTGTGCTGAATTTCTACATCAAATAGTTATTCTTGAAACATATCCTTCTCTATTATTTATTTCTAGAACTTGTGATGATGCTAAGTTTCAGACATCTATGTAATTGACAAGATGCTTTATCAATTTATTTAATAGTGCTTGGTTCACTTAACAGCTCACAGTGTCCCAGCTAGAAGAAGGAGATTTAACACCATGAACTTGAAAATATTACAACAGTCAAAATGACCATATTAAATGGATAAATCATAACCCTTTAACATGAAGGAAAATAAATGACATAACAAAAAGCTCACTTGAAGCAAAGCCCAAGAGACTGTTCACCAACTTCAAATACACGCTTGAAGGAATCTTTGAAAACTGAATGCCCAAAGCTTTCAGCAAGAACAACTTGTCCTCCAGTCTTTTCAATAGCTACTTTCATCTCTGCAACTCCAACCTAAAAAAACAGAACTAGTCAAAAAATAACATCTCTTATGAATCGATCAGATTCGTCAATAAGTCAACAGACCTCTCCAGTAAGGGATAGAGTAAAGTTTACAGACTCAATTGATGAGGCTAATAATACTAAAAATCAAAATATACCCACAGCAAGAAAAAAATGCTTACACATTAATATATTTTTTCGATAATTTAACAGATACACCTAGATAACTAAATACTGTCCAGGATAAAATGCTTCATCTGAAAGTGAACACCAGTCTCTTGCACCAAAAGCGTACAAGACAAACAACATAGTTCATGGAGACAAGTGGTTGATCAATTCAAACCTGGTCAAGTGCTGAAGCAAAAACATCTAAGATGTGACCGTGACTGACAAGTTGCTTTGCGAGTTCCTCGTAGAAATGAACAGCCTTTTTAAAAAATGGTGCAGCATCCTTGTGTAGATCTTTATGAGAACGAACAGGTTCCGATAAATCCTTCGACACAATCTACAAAAACAAACAAATAAGGAAAAGAAATCACTTAAGAAGCATTGTTAGGCGAACTTTCTTCAGAATGAGGCCAAGTCCAATCAATTGTTTAGATTTCATGCAAAAAGAAGTCTCTTAAATCATTTGACTTGCTAACCTGTTAAATTTCCTGGTTAGAAATCTGGCCTCAACATATAGGGCGATTATTCAGGAGCATTAAGAGGAGAAAAGGAGGGCTGGCAGAGACCAATTTAAGTGGAAACAGAATGTTTAAAGCAAGATAAATACGAATATTAAGTTCTTTTTGTTGAAGTACCTTATAATCCTCATCTTCCTAACTCACTAAGATATCCTATGTATCAAGTTACTCTTGAGGGGAAAAAATGTTTACTGAAGGTATAGTCCACGTGATTTGGATGGACAAAAGTTGAAATCCTATATACAATTAACCCAAATTTTAGTTATCGAATGATACCACTGCTAAACATCATCAGAAGCAGTAGTAGACTCATCTGCTGAGAAGGAAGGTTTACTGCAAAAGGCAATGATAAGCCAAATAGTCTCCTTCATGGATAAGCAAGGAGGACAACATTAAAGAGTGTGTGAAAGACAGGAGGAGACTGATTGGTGACAATGGTGCTTTTATGACGGCTAGAAGTGATTGCCTTGAAGAGCATTTGCAGCATAAGAATATTAAAAATCCTTCCTTTTCCAGAAGAATTTAGATTGTGCACAATCAGACAATCAAAAATGTAATAAGCAATCATTCAAACACTCAAAAATGCCCCAACAACTCCTTAGGATATTGAAATTCGTAGATCACTAAGAACAAAACAGAGCGAAAACAAAGTCAAAACTCACCGCGCCAGGTCCTTCAGTGCAAGGACCCCCAACTAATGCAACAATCCGAGCACCTGCCCCAGCCAAACAAGCACCAAGCAGACCAGTTGCCACACTCAATGCCACCCCAGTGCAGCGCGAAGCTCTGTTTCCCGGTGTCACAGGCCATTGATCCGTACTCAATTCATCTAGCAACTAAAAAAAACAACACACAAGAACAAATTCAACATTAAACAACAGCTACACCACTCGAAGTCTAAAGTAATCAAAAAGACAGCATTTTTAACCAAAAAAAAACTCACCGAATCAAGTGTATACTCACACTCAGAAGCAGGTAACAAGAACCTAGTCAACCCATGATTAGGTCCACCATTCACCCCAACACCACCACCACCACCCTTCCTACCACTAATACTACCAAGTCCTAACTGATCCAAAACTTGATCTTTCGACAAGTCCTTCGAACCCTGAAACACAAAAACCTTCGACATATCCGAAAACCCAAGTTCATGTACCTGCACCTGTGTACCATACGAAATAAACCCCACCATAGCATAATCAGGCAAAAGTCCAATAACCCTTTTCAATGCAGATTTAGCAAACTCCAATTCTTCATCCAACATACAAGTATCCAACACAAACAAATAGACAGGTGGAGAATTATGACCACCAGGGTTCTGAATCGCATACTGAATAGTAGTAAATTGGGGATAAAGCTCAGCAGGTACATTCGTTTCCGAAATTCCTGAATAATGCTGAGGGAAATGATTACGTTGGAAACAAAACGGACAGATCCAAATTAAAGCTTGAAAATCAACACGACAAAAGGGGTTTAAGATTGATGAACAAGTTTTACAACGAAGGGGGGCGTAAGGTAGGGTAGGTAGATCAGGGAATGGACGAAGCAATTGAATTGAAGAAGCAATTGGGATTATACATTTGCTTGCTTCAACTTTGGTTCTTGGCCAAGAATTCCATGTCATACGAACTCCATCGATGCCTTCTGGCTCTGTTTGTGCCATTTCAGTCGCCATTGTTAAAGGGTTTTTAGGAGAAAAGAAATAAAGATTGAGAATTTGGGGGTTTTGGTTTATGTGAATGAATCTGGAAATTTGATTTTTATATGATCACTCTGTATTAATCCCCATTGTTAGATGAAAGCAAGAAACTCAACCTTATTGTATTAAAAATTATATTTTTCCCTAAAAAGAACACTTATTTCCTTTTTTGTTCTTTATGAGTTTTAGTCAAATGCTATTAATTACTAGTAACATTAAATTCGTTTGTGATATTTTAACTTAATATAAAATTTAAAAAAAATTATATGTATTTTATGATATTAAATTAAAAATATATTGAATATTATTACATTATAACGTGTGTGGAAAAAATTGAAATTAAAAATCAGTCACCATAGCTAAGAACTCTTTAGAACTCTCTGGATTTCTTTAACACTTCATCATTTCATAGAACACTCTAGACCCCCAGAGTGACCTTCATCTATATAAACTCACAAGCTGCAATGCATCTCTCAGCAAATCTTGAAAACCCCACATTTTAAATCTGCATTTTGCTTGAAGTTAACTATATTTTGAGGTTTTTTTCAAGAAATTGTGAATACCTTTTACATTCTTTAGTACTAAGAAGGAAGCCATGGATGAGGATTTTGAGTTTCCTGTATCTTCTAACAATGCTGCTGCTGAAGAAATGGATATGGATATGGGGATGGGGATGGATGATATTGATGTCCCTGAACCCGACCCGGTTATGAAGGTTGATGAAGAGAAGGAGATTGGGAAAAGTGGGATAAAAAAGAAGCTTTTGAAAGAAGGTGAAGGTTGGGAGCATCCTAGTCAAGGAGATGATATTGAAGGTTAGTTATATCCTTGTAATCTATTTTGAAGTATTTGTTGCTTTTTTGGAATTAAATGGTAATTTGAATGATGCATTATGCATGTATTTGGATTAAAGGATTGATCTTTGTAGCAAAAATGAGCTTTCTTTAATTGTTTGAATTGATGGTGTCATTTTTCATACTAGTAGTTGTAGTATTACTGATCCTGTAGTTTCTTGTCGTTTGATATGTTACTATGTGCTGTTCTTGTTGTCCTTCAATGTGTTACTACATGTTGTCATTGCTTAGAATACTTTTGGTATGCCTTCACTTTCATTAGTTCTTTATTTAGATTGTTTTTATTGGAAACAACTTTCTCTAGCTCTGTATGAGGGATAAGGTTTGCGTATGTTCTAGAATTTCCAGAATCTGCTTTGTGGTCTATACTAGGTATGTTGTCGTTTTGCTTGAGATGAGCTCAAATAGAGCTACATTATCAGGATTCATATAGACAATCCCAATTTGTGTATCCATTCCCAATTACTTTCGGATTGAGGTGTAGTTGTTGTTGGTTTGAGATGATAGATTATGCAAGCTTTTGGCCTTACAATATTGGTTTGAGATATCTTTAATGGAGTTGATGACATGATCAGGATTAAGGCATAGTAGTTGTAATCAATTGGTGTTTCTTATGATAGAATTATGCAAGTTTTTGGCTTTAGTTTGGATGAGGATGAAATTTTGCTTGGATTAACTATATTCTATTGGTCTTTACAGTTCATTATGTCGGTACATTACTTGATGGAACTCAATTTGATTCAAGTTGCGATCGTGGCACCCCGTTCAAGTTTAAGCTTGGCGAAGGTAATCTCCTTTCTGTTAGAAAATTAGTGGTTTGGTATAGTTTGGTTTATGAACGTGTTAGTGTCCTTCATCGCTGTCAGATGGAGCACCGTACTGTGCTTCCTTATATGCTTTTGGTTTTCTAATTTAGCTAGGCCATTTCAATTTATTGTTTACCATGTCTCTGACATTGATGTTGTGTGGGATGGAGCAACATGCTTCTTTATATGATCTTAGGCAACCCTCGAGATAGTCTTTGGGGTTAGTTAGGCCCAAAGTCCATTTTCTGATCAACTTAGTTTTAGCCTTTAGGGACGACATATGACAATTGATATCTTCGAAAATGGAATTTGATTTTTCATTGTTTAGAGTATATAGTGTCTCTTATATATATAGTTTTGACAAGTGCGATTAGAGGTTTGATGGATTGTTGTTGTTGTTGTTATAGGACAAGTGATAAAAGGGTGGGATGAAGGTATAAAGACGATGAAAAAAGGGGAGAAAGCTTTGTTCACTATACCTCCAGATATGGCATATGGTGAATCTGGATCCCCTCCAACTATTCCTCCAAATGCCACTTTACAGTTTGAAGTGGAATTGCTTTCTTGGATTAGTGTCAAAGACATATGCAAGGATGGTGGAATATTCAAGAAGATACTTATCGAAGGAGAGGGATGGCAGAATCCGAAGGATCTTGATGAAGTGTTTGGTTAGTAAACTATCAAACTTTCATGTTCTCCGTTGTGGTTTTTCTTCTCAAGAACCTTAGGATTGATGTGAATTCCTTTATCGGTTTCTTTATTGCAGTTAAATACGAGGCTCGCCTTGAGGATGGAACAGTTGTATCAAAATCCGATGGAGTGGAATTCACTGTGGAAGATGGTATCTTCTGCATTCTTTTAGCTATGTTGTTCAGGTGTATGCGTGTCGCATTTATTGAGGATGTAACATGGATGTGGCAACATTTTGGAGAGTCCAAGCAACATAGCTTCTTAGGCTCTTTTTAATCTCTTTCGGAAGTAGAGTTGATAACATTAATCTGGTGTTTCTTGTATAGGCTATTGCTGTCCTGCTTTGTCGAAAGCTGTTAAGACAATGAAGAAAGGAGAGAAAGTCATACTGACTGTGAAGCCACAATGTAAGTTAAAACCATTTCTGCTCTAGATATGTTCCTTCGTATTCGTTTATGTGATGATTAACTGATGCTTTTGCAGATGCATTTGGACAGACGGGTAAAGTGGGAAGCGGAGAAGACGGTGGGGTCCCACCAAATGCCACCCTTCAAATAAATCTTGAATTGATTTCTTGGAAGATTGTCTCTGAAGTAACAAATGACAAGAAGGTTCTGAAGAGGATTTTGAAGGAAGGAGAGGGCTATGAACGCCCAAATGACAGTGCTCTTGTGAAAGGTACGAAAAAGTTAAACTACTTAGTGATCGCGTCACAGATAGATATTTATGATTATCCCTCTGTATTAATTTGCTTTTTCTTGCAGTGAAATTGATCGGAAAACTTCAGGACGGGACTGTTTTTGTAAAGAAAGGACATAATGAGGGGGAGCCATTTGAGTTTAAGATAGATGAAGGTAATGTCTTCTTGCTACTGATTATGCCAATTATTTGATATATTTTCACTAATATCTTTTTTCTATCTACAACTAGCATAGTTTCTTACTTCACTTGATTTCTTTATGCAGAACAAGTAGTTGATGGACTAGATAAAGCGGTGAAAAAAATGAAGAAGGGCGAAATTGCTCTGATAACAATTCAACCAGAGTATGCATTTGGTGCATTCGATTCTCCTCAAGACTTAGCTGTTGTTCCTGGCAATTCGGTCGTGTATTATGAAGTTGAGTTGGTGTCATTTGTGAAGGTTGGTGCTCTTGAATTTTCTTTGTTTTCCATGTCTTAAGCAAGTAACAATGGAAGCAGCGGTGGAACTAGGGGGGCGGAAGGGGTTCACTCCGAATCCCTTCACTGCTAAATTAAATTGTATAGACAAGGTCAAAAAGTATCTGTTTCCTAGTCTAGAAATACTAGATGTTGAGTCCCCTGGCTTCGTTGTGTTTATTTGTTCATATTTTGTATCCATCCTGGTTCCGCTGCTGTTGGGAAGAGTAAGATTAATCATCAAAAAACTTAAACATGCAGGAGAAGGAATCCTGGGATATGAGTACTCAGGAAAAAATTGAAGCTGCAGGAAAGAAAAAGGAGGAAGGAAATGTATTGTTCAAGGCCGGGAAGTATGTGAGAGCATCAAAGAGATACGAAAAGGTATATTTACGGTTAAAGTTAATGAAAAAAACAGTTTTATGACCTTATTATTCTGATGACATATAGTTGACTATGCTATTTTTATACTGTTCAGGCTGTGAGCTTCATCGAGTATGAATCCTCGTTCAGTGACGATGAGAAGCAGCAAGCTAAACTTCTAAAAGTTACTTCCAATCTGAACAATGCCGCGTGCAAGCTGAAACTGAAGGAATACAAAGAAGCAGCAAAACTCTGTTCTAAAGTCTTGGAGATTGACAGTAAAAATGTCAAAGCTCTATACAGAAGGGCTCAAGCTTACATTCAACTCGTCGATTTGGACTTAGCAGAACTTGATATCAAGAAAGCACTTGAAATCGATCCAGATAACAGGTAAAAGAATTTGTCTTTTTCTATGTTCCTCGTCGTTAGATCCTCCAAAATACATAGCTTTCCAAGAGTACGAGCGCAACATAGCATTTAAATCGTATATTATTGTGCTTATATTGTGGTATGGATGATTCAGGGATGTCAAGTTAGAATACAAAGTCTTGAAAGAAAAGATAAAGGAGTATAACAAGAAGGATGCTCAATTTTATGGCAATATTTTTGCAAAGATGAACAAATTAGAGCAAGTAAGTTTGACAAAATGACACTAATGAATTGTTATTGTATTTAAGTAAGATTATTAAATTATAATATCATACTGATTCTGTTACTTATTGTAAATACAGAGTGGAGGAGCAAAAAATGAGGCAGCACCAATGACTATAGATAGTAAGGCTTAACCAAGAACATGAAGATCAATGACACTTTCATAATGTGTAGTGTTGACATTGGGCTTGGTTGTACTCGAGTGTTTTGAGAAATGCATAATAAACAATCTTATTTTTATATACTTTGACTGAGCACGAAGTTTAAGAGCTAAAGGGTTTTTTTTAAAAAATATTTTGATATTAAATTTGTTATGGAATGTTAGAATCGAAAACATTACTAAATATAGAAAAGAGGGTATACTTGTTGAGATATATCATAAGAAAAAGTGCAATAAGACATAACATAAGATCAACCTCACTAGTTCAAAACTCCAAATTGCATACATTATAACTAAAATACAAAAATCACAACAAAACCTCCTAGAACAATAGTGATTTATTCATTGGCAATGTCAAACAATTGAACACACACTCACACACAAACATGAGTATGTGTCCAAATATAGACAACAACATGCCTTATTCCTTAAAAGGACAAAAAAAAACATATCTTTAGGTCACAACATGATCAATCAATTGTTGATATCATCTTCAAATACAGCATCAGGTGTTTGATGAGCAGTGAAGCAACATTTTGCACATCCCTTGCCATAACGGAACCCACGGCAACAGCCATATCTGCAACCTCTCCATGGATATCCGTTACGACCTCCTCCACGTCCAGGGTAGGCCCCACCACGCCCAGGGTAGCCCCCACCGCGTCCATTCCCCGGGTACCCACCACCTCCGAGCTGAGCTTCTTGTACATCACCACTCGCCTTATTTTCTTCTATAGTTAAGACAGATTCATAATTTAAACTTAATAATTTTGTGTATAGTTACTATGGTAAGTATTATGAGTCATTTTGTCATCATTACTTATTATTATTATATAAAATAATAATATTTATAACAAAAGTTTAATTTAAAATTGAGAATAATGACTTACTTTGAGTAGATGAAGCTCCCACTTGTAAAGAAATAAGGACAATAGCAATTAAAAGACCAAAAATGAGCAAATTTTTAGTTGAAGCCATTTTGAATTTTTTTTTTTTAAAGTTTCTTAGAGATATAGAGTATAGTGTGATGGATCAAATGAAATGAACCAAAATTCTATTTATAGAGCACAAAAAATCTTGGTATTTAATTTTAAGGATTAAAGATTTGCTGGACTGAAAGATTTCACGTGAATATAAGTATGGGACATGTCATTTTTATTTTTATTTTTCTGATTTTTTGGACCAAATTAAAAGCTTCTGAATATTATTAGAATACCATACTTCCATACAGTGACTCTGATTTTAAAAAATTTTTACTCCAATAATTGTTCTTTCGTCATGCATGATGCTCTCTTTTACTGCTATATAGATCAAAATAATAAAATTATGATATTATTGATCTTATATCCTTATTTGAATTTTGGGCGCATTTTTGTAAGACTAAAAATAACACCAAAAGGAAAGAAGAGAGAGCATAGTATTCCTATGATAAAATGAACATTTTTACGTCGGGCAACCCATGAAATCTAAATAGACGTGTCATCGACCTAATGACTTCAAGTGCACAATTTACATTCAAACAGTAATCAACGATTTGTGAGATTTATAATTTACATCAAGTATCACATTTCGTTATATTCTTGGTCGATATGAGAAGTCATTTCAAAATTAGAAAACATGATTCAAATAAAGTTTAATTTTTGAAGAAAAAAAAAGGTCTATTCGTACGAGTCTTATCGATAAATAGTTGTCAACTAGATTTGAACTCTAGTAAAAGGGTCAAAAGCAACATCTCCCCAACCACTTTTGTTAATTTAAAAAATAAAATATTTGTAAAGTTTGTGAAAAATTATAGTGTATAATTATGGCCTTTTAAATGATAACACTAGTACTATTTCTCTCATTTATGTGATGTACTTATTTTCTTAATTTAATAAAGAACAATTTTAATTTGTCATTTCACCAGTAATAAAACGATTAATAACTATACAAATATTTATAACTTGTTGTATCACAAGTTTCAAAAATTAAAAAAAATAAAATTTTATATCCAGCTAAATAATTTTAAATGCATTAGGATAAAGAGAGTAATGCTTTTAAAATACAAGACACCATAATATATGTTTTTTAGAAAAAATAAGAAAAAAATGCTTGAAAACAACTTTACAGAAAGTATTATTTAAAGCACATAGAGGCGTATGAGAAAATGGGATAAGATTTGGAATGTATGCAAATCGATTAATTTATAAGTCAACCTTTTATAAATTCTCCTCCAAATTACAAAAACCCAATGTATTTGACCTTTTCAAATCTCAATTATTTTTTACAATCTTTCATTTAACGATTGGTAATCGTTTTGAACTCGAATAACATAAATTTATATCAAAAAGACTTATTTTAAAATAAAAGATTTTTTATCAAAAATAATTTTTTATATTTATGATTAAAATTGGAGACCTTTCATAAATATCAATTAATTTTGTAATTATCAATCTAAATTCGCTTGCCACTCATGCACGTGATGACCTTTAGAAGCTGTTTGGATAAATAAGAAAATTTTTTCCAAAAAAACAAGGTATAAATATATATTTATATATATCTTAAAATTGTAGTAAATATTAGATATGGACGCATAACTTTTAAAAATATAAAAACTCAATATTGACTTTTATAGAACAAATTTTTAATATGCATTTAAATTAGACCAATTAATTTTTATAAGTAGGACAATTAAAGTAGGCCAAAGAGATAATACGTGGAATCGCAAGATGTGTGCACTAAATTGATGGATCTAGTTAAACATAAAATATTCAAATTCACTATTTCTATGACTCGAATTTACAAATCCTAAATAGAAAAATGATTCGAATTTACAAATTCCACTGACTCTTTGTCTCCTTAGAAAATATTACTCTACTCTCTGTTCCAAAACAAAATATTAGCTCTTTCCATGTTTGAAAATCAATAAATACAAGATATCATGTACTGAGTTATACATTCGGATTTAGAATTAAGTATGATTAAGAAAAATAAAGTGACAATCATTTTGAGATTAAATAAACTCTAGGAGTGATATTTAATTTGAGATAGGAAATATAGTAAAAATATGTAATTAAGGGCGGAGTCAGAAGGAAATTTACTATAAATTTGATCAAGTTTAATAAATTTAGAGGTTAAAACATCAATTATTTTGAACCGAAGAGAATAGTAGTAGTTCTCAACCATAAATGCCTTGTCGAAAATGCAAATGGTTATCCAAAAAGAAAAGGAAAAAGTACTCTTTAAATATATCCAACTGCCAACTTAATTACTTGGCTCCATTAATTAATGCCATCTTCAAATCTTTGCCTTTTCAATGTTTAGATCATGCTATAAATAGAGGCAAAATATTCACTAATTTCCTCATCCTTCTCCCCTCTAAATTATCACAACCTAAATATAGTAAGTTATTTATACCAAGTAAGGGGGAAAATGGGGTTAAAGGCTTTTATAATTCTAAGCCTTGTTTTGGCTATTTTTGCAATTGTAACCTCACATGTTGCAGCTAGGGAATTGGCTGAGAGCTTCACTACTACTATGGAAAATAGTAAGCTTACTTTCCCTTTATAATGACCTAATTCCTTATACTAATTCATATCATATCACACAATATGTATATAGCAAAATAATATGGGTTCGATTACTGGTTTGGAGGTGAGTTATAAATATACCTAGATACTATGCGTGTGTAAAATAAATTAAATAAGGTACTTAGTTGTGCAATATAGAAAGTCGAATAACTAATACATGTGTAAGAACTTATCATGCCATGAATTCAAATGATAAGTATTTAAAAGTTGAATCTGTTTAAATTTAAATTATGAATCGTCTAGCGATAGATATAGAATGTACACATAACATGCACATGTATGATTTTTATTGCAGCAAAGGAAAATGAGGTAAATGATGCTAAATATCCTGGAGGAGGTTATGGAGGGTACCCTGGTGGTGGTCGTGGAGGTTATGGAGGGTATCCTGGTGGTGGTCGTGGACGTGGAGGTTATGGAGGGTACCCTGGTGGTGGTCGTGGACGTGGAGGTTATGGAGGGTACCCTGGTGGTGGTCGTGGACGTGGACGTGGAGGTTATGGAGGTGGATATTGCTCCTATGGTTGTTGTGAAAGGAATTACTATGGTAATGGTTGCAATAGGTGTTGTTACTCCAAAAGTGAAGCTATGAATAAAGTCACCCAAGCTAAGCCTCACAACTAAAATTTCTAAGTTATAGTAATATTTTATGTAGTGTGTGTTTTAGTAGCAAGTAAAATAGTTTTTAATTTGTTGTTGGGAGTTTGAATAAATGTAGCTTCCATTCACTTCATGTGGATGGATGGTCCAATATTATCTTTTCATTTTGTACGTTACCTACTCTTTTCATATATATGTTTGAATGTAATTGATATATCATAAATTCACATTAATAATTAGGTAGGTAGATCTGTTTACTTATATATCCAACATGTTTTCTATGTTTTTTCGATATGAATTTCTTATCTTAAGATGGTAGAAGATATTTGCGGAAGAATTTTTATAAATGAAATGGAGATATGTATTTAACCCATAAAACGAGGTTTTAAGGACGTGATTTATGAGCAAAACTAAAAACACTGTTTCTTTTCATATAAATTTTTTATTTATTATTATTAGGACTTAATATTTTTAAGGCATGAGAACTCTATTTTTGGAAATTTTAACCAGGATCATTCACCTAATAGGCTAGTCGATGTTTTTATTTAGGACAACTTTCATCTATAGCAAATAAAAAATTTATATTTGTATGTTATAGCAAAGTTTGCATTATTATATTCCATAGCAAATATAAAAACAGTATAATTCGCTATACATATGCAGTTGAAATAAATTGTATAAAACAAAGTGTATAAAACAAGAAAGAGAAAGACATTTAAGCAGAGAACTGTATAAAAACGAAGTGTATAAAACGAATTGTATTATTGTAAGTGTATAGAACGATTATATACAATTTAAATGTGTATAAAATAAGAAAGAGAGAAAGACAAAAGAGACTTGACAAGGAATATACAATCGAATTGAATTGTATAAAACAAGAAAGAGAGAAATTAGATACAATTTGAAAATTGTATAAAACGAGAAAGAGAGAAAGGCAAAAGAAATTGGGCAGGGGAATATTTTTATTGTATATAAATTAATTTATGTTGATTTTAAAGAGGTTTTACTGTATTAGTCATTTGATTTTTTTTATGTTGGACAAATTCATACTTTTAATGCTAAGAACTATCTCAAGGGCAAATAGGAAAAATAATATAATTTAAGCCTTGATTTATGAAATAACATATATTAAAGACCATTTATTTTTTGCAAGGACGACATATAATTAGAAAGAGAGAGTATTTATCATTATTAGTACTTAATATTTTTAAAAACGGCATGAAAACTCTATTTTGGAAATTTTAACCAAGATCATTCACCAAATCGGCTATTCGTTGTTACTATTTATATGTCAATATTTTAGACTTCAAGTCCATTAAGAAATTATGTAAGTTTACTATTGTATCCTTATTTAGAATTTTTCTTTTAATTTAACAGACAAGTTTTAGATAAATAACCATAAATTAATTTATTTTGAACAATGAACAAGTATTATTAATTGTTTAGTTTTTTTATGCTGGTCAGATTCATACTTTTAAGGCTAAGAACTCTCTCAAGGGTAAAATAGTAAAAATAATATAATTTAAACATTCATTTTGTAAAATAACATATACTAAGAAGTATTTATTTTTAGTAAGGACGATATATAAATAGAAAGAGAGATGTCTAAGATATTAATAAATTCTGTAGGCTGCGGCCTTTAATTTTTGTTTTACTTTTGAGAATTCTTAGGGGTTATTGAAAAGTATTTCTTCCCTATAAAATTATCTAACATGTTTTATAATAAATATTAATTAGAAGGAGTTTTAATTATTTTCTTTTTATTTACTACTTGAGATTTAATCTCATTCCATTTAATATTAACTCTCTTTAGGTATTATTATTTATTACTCTATAATTGAAGTGTTTTTAGTTTTTCAATAAAATTAGTTAATACTAAGGATAAAATAAAAAAGAATAAATAATTTTATTTGAAAATTCTAATATTACAAAATATATTGAAATAACATTACAAAATATATTCTTTATTTTTTAATTAGGTGTTTAATATTAAAATATATTGACATACAAAATAAAGTCTATTAAAAAGATAAATACTCCTTATCAAGATTTTTTCATGTGTTCGACTATTATGTTCTTTATTTTGTCAATTTGTTAATTTTAAAGACGTGTGATTTTTCTCAGCTATTAATCTAATTTAATTATAATATACGTAGACTTCTATACAGAAACTCAACCTATATATGGAAACGGTCGTGCATCAAAGTCCATTGACTATATTAGAATTAAAAATTTTACTTTATTATTACTCGATTCTTAAAATGAGAAATAACTTTTTCAATTAGTGCAAACGTCAGAGCACATTTTGATTTTTCTTTACTAGTAAAGGATCCCATGATTCTCGTGGCATGGTGTTTTCTAATCTTTTTCTTTTAGTTTTTCGATCTAAAGCAATATAATTATTTTTATTCTCTAATTAAGAATGTAAAAATTCTATTTAATTTACGTTTTAAAATGAAAAAAGTAAAAAGAGTACTACTCCTCCCTAGGCCGTCTATCCAATTGTCAACTTAATTAATAACTAGGCCAATATTCAATTAATGCCACCAATACCATATTCAAAATCTTTGCGTTTTCCATGCTATAAATATAGACAAAATATTCATTAGTTTCCTCATCTTCTTCACATTTAATTATCATAACACAAGTAGTATAAAGTTTTTTAGCAAGAAAAAAAAATGGGATTAAAGTTATTTATCCTTTTAACCCTTGCTTTGGCTGTTTTTATAACTTTAACATCAGAGGTTGCAGCTAGGGAGTTGGTTGAGAGCTCCACCAATACTGTGGAAATTAGTAAGCTTTAATTCTTCATATACCATCATTATATATATATATATACCTTGATATTATATGCGCGTACATACAACGTACATGCTATATTTTTTAAAAACGCGTACATTCAATGTATAAATAAGTTATTTCTATCTTTTTTATAATTAAACGGGGCACTAATTAATCTCGCTAATTAGGAGAGAAAACATATTATATCGCTAATATAAAATTATTATTCTTTTTGTTAGATATGTTATATATAGTTTTGATAAAGAATTTTTTTATTAACTTTGTTTGATAAGAAATAAATTAAAAGAAAATAATTAAAACATGACTTTTAGAGTCGGTGGGTTTACTATAATATTGACCCAAATTCAATCCATTACTCATCCAAATTTAGTTCACATTGTTTATTTTATATCCCCTTCCTTATAGTAGTAACCAAGTCAAACAAAGGAAGATTACTCATTTTGAACTGACTGACTCTAATTTTTTAATTTGACTTAATAAAATATTGAACCTATTTTTACTAGGTATCATTAGTATTTTCGACACATAACTTCAATGTATACATATGGTTTTTTTTTTTAAGATTTCAATAAATATATATATTTTGAATGTAATAAATTTAAATATTGAACGCGTTTATGATTATAGTCATGACTATCCCCGCTAACATGAACATGCATGAACGTACAGACAAATCCGAGATGGAAAATGAGGTAAATGAAGCTAAATTTCCAGGCGATGGATTTGGAGGAGGTTATGGAGGGTTCATGGGTGGTGGCTATGGAGGGTACCCGGGGCGTTGGTATGGAGGAGGCGGATATTGTCGCTTTGGTTGCTGCCGGAGGAATTTCTATGGTGATGGTGGTTGCATTAGGTGTTGTTATCCTGGAGAAAGTTGAAGTTATAAAGTTACTCAAACTAATTACTGAGTAACATGGTATTGTGTGTTTTAGTAGTAATATACTTTTGTTGAATAAATGGTCAAGGGTCGAACAGAAACATATTCTCGATCTTATAGTTGTGAGACCATAGTTGATATGTTGTTGTTGTTAGTTTTGTTGAATAAATGATTAAGTGTCGAACAGAAATATGTTCTCGATCTTATAGTTGTGAGACCATAGTTGATATGTTGTTGTTAGTTTTGTTGAATAAATGTATCGTCCATTTGCTTATATGGTTAATGAGAAATAATATAATTAAGCAATTTAATATCTATTATTTATGATAATTTCAAATTTTTAAATGAGATTATTATACAGTTCAATACATATATTTTAACATTCAAAATATTTTTAATTCAAACTCATATATTCAGAGTATAAATAATTCAATGATTTTGATATAATGGTTGTACTGGTTTTAGGTAATGCCCATACGCAATTACTAAAGAAATTTAATTCTGTATTTTATTTTAAAATATCCCTTAATTTATTTCAATAATCAAACGATCCTTTAGTGTTATATATATATATTAGTAGCTTCATACATTTTTGTACCCCCTCAACGGTTTGATATACTTTTATTTTTGCATTACCTTTACCAACTTTTTACACTGAAATTTATCATATTATATTGAACATTTTGTTTTTATACTTTTATTTCATTAGATAGTACTTCCTTTTTCAAATATATTTTTCATAATCACTTTAAAATTTCTTATAAAACTTTAAATTATAAAACATATATACAAACAAGCTAGTATTAATTAACCTTGAAATTTATGCCAAAGTTATCAAGGACCCCCCCCCCCCCCCCAAAAAAAATAAAAATAAAAAATCAATGGATTGGATCAAGATGCAGCAAATAACGGGTCATAATATTGAAAAAATTAATTCAGTAATTTCAGTTTATGACTTCTAAAAATATTATATCCAGAGGCGTTAAGCGGGATTCATGGATTCGGACGAATTCATCAGCCGTAGATTCTATATTTGTATTAAAAATTTAATATTTTTTTATGTATGTCAATTTGTGGACCCCAAACAAATTGATTTAGAACCACCAAACTCCTAATCTTAGCTCCCCTCTGACTATACCATTATCATATCACATTAATTCGATTTGATTTGATATTTTTATAATGATTTTTGATATATAATGGTTCGATAAATTAGTCACCATAGCATATATTACAGTTACAGTAAATTGATAAAGCCTTATAAATCATGGTGAAAAAACATCAATTTCGATATAATATTCGATTTTTACTGTACCATATCATACCATGCTCACCTATATCGCAAGGTAAAACTCGGCCCTTCCGTCCATGTGCATATGTTTGTGTGTCCGGCCAATGCAAAGAACAATGTAGGTGCGGCCCACGTGCAACGACAGATGACTATGACAATAACATATTTAATAAAATTTTAAACTGTCATAAAATATATATAAATTTTATTCAAGACTCCAGGAAGATAGAAAAATTATTTACAAAGACTCTAAGCTCAAACGCAAGTTGATGATTTGTTCAAATTGACCTTTTAAATGATATATAGACTTTTCAAGATGAGATGATAATAGATGTTGCTTTTATTAAATGAGAAACTAAGGTCTTAACTATAAAATCTAAAACACATGCTAGAGAAACTAAATTCCTAATTAAGATGACTTCTCATTCAAAAGAAGAATCATTAATTCCAACAATATTCCTTAAATAATGTTCAAAGCAAACTAAACTCTTAACAATTTTGCAACTAAAGAATAAATATAGACATTTACTATCTCCTAATAGGCTAGAATTAGTGCGGCTAGTAAGTAATTAGAAAAATTTGTAATAGCTTGGGCTAGATAATTAAGATGATCGATATAGCTAGTACATAACTCTCATCGGCAGTGATTAAATGCTAAATTTTGAAAAATTATATTATATATAACGTTAATATTATTAATATTGTGATAAAAATCATGTCTTCGCCACTTAATATATGCCTGCAGGGAAGCATAAAATATTATGTATTCATTCATGACCCGATTTAAGATTGTCTTTTACATTTTTTTTAATTCAATCTGATTAATTTTAATTAATTCTCTTCTACATATAGTTTGTTTGTTTATATATGTTTTTTTTGTTCAATTTACTTTCTTTTCCTTCTTTATTTTGGGAAATTTCTCACCTCATCATTCACTCTATATATAGCATAAGTACCTTATACTCATTCATACTCTTTTAATGTCTTCCGAACCCTCTTCGCTGGAAAATCAGATTAAGAGTAACTCAAGACACTATTAAAGTATACAATAGAGAGAGATATAATTTACTATAACAAAAAATAACTTTTAGCGACATTAAATATTGATATTAAAAAAAAAACTAAATTCTTTATCAGAATTAGTTACGTATCATTAGAATCAATGTCGTTAAAGACTTTTAGGGACATATACAAAAAGTGTTAATTGTCGCTAATAAACATTTTTAATGTAGTTCTGGTGATATGGTTGAAATTCATCCATCCTTAATTAGAGGTTTCACCTGCAATTTAAATTTAGTCGGATTCATATATAAGTACTAGACACTGACACGAAAGAAAAGAAAAAAACTCATCTATAATAATAGCTTAGCTAGAGGAAAATGCCATATATATACTAGTTATTTAAGATAAATCATGCTGTAGATGCTTTATTGAAAAGTCTGAGTTTTAAAAAAGTCAATCAATTAGTCTGCCAACTTAACTAGTAACTAGTCCATAACATCATTACTCCAATATACACAAAATGTTTAGATGATTATTCTATAAATAGAGACAAAATGTTCATTAGTTTCCTCATTCTCCTTACAATTATAACAAAAAAACAACTAATAGTTATATAAGATATATATGGTTTAAGAAAAAAAAATGGAATCAAAAGCATTTTTCCTAATTGTTTTGGCTATTTTACTTGTGATAACATCAAAGGTTACATCTAGGCAGTTGGTTGAACGTAAGTTTATTTCTTACAACTACATCTCTTAATTAATTTTAACATTCAAATATTATTATTAATAACATATGATCATATATACTATAAAATGTTATGACTTATGATCATCACAGAATTAATAATACAATACGTATATTAGTTTTCTAAACAAAATAGTACAAACTAGCTAACATGCTTATGTTTGATCATAATTTGTGCATGTAGCAAAAACATCCGATACGCCAAATGATGGCCCCAAATTTATAGGTGTACAACCAGGATTCGGAGGAGGGGGGTATGGAGGAGTATTCCCCGGAGTAGGAGGAGGATATGGTGGATATCGTGGTGGTGGATACCCTGGTGGCGGATATGGTGGATATCCTGGTGGTGGACGCGGATACTATGGAGGTTATCCAAGAGGAGGATATGGTGGATTTTATCCCGGTGGTGGTTATGGTGGAGGAGTTTATCCTGGTAGTGGTTGGTATGGAGGATTTCCTCGCAACTAATTAATTAATTACATACTAAGGGATATAATGCACCTCTGATGTATCAGTTATTATGTCCATGATAAACATTGAGTAGCTAAGTGCAAAACGGCTAACTATATATGGCTATTTATATATTTTACTTAATGATTTAACAATAGTTTTATTGTTGAAAGTATGAATAAATGTAACATAAATCTCCATTCATTTACTACTATATGGATGGATGGTCATGTCTTTTTTTTTCTTTTTATATAAATGTATGAGAACGAACTTATATAAATCTTTTCTTTTTACATGTTATTTGTCATCCATATATTTAAGTGATGAAATACAAGTCATTTTGCATTATTTTAATTTATTTTAGCAAAAATCATTTGAAACATCGATTTCAAAAAATATATGAGGACATACATTTTACGGTTTTCAAAAATTAGCGTGGTTATTTATTAACGGAATAAAATCCATCGATTAATTGGTGAGAAAATTAAAAAAATTAAAAATACTTGTAAAATCTAATGGATTTCTATAAATTACTCAATAGGTTACTATTGTACCGCTAGACCATATTTGAATGTATGTTTATCTAAGCCTATCTTTTCTTTTCTTTTTTTATACTTTTAATCGCATTTTTTGGTAAAAATAACTGACGAAATTTGTGAAAAAAAATTAAATTACCGCTGACTGATTTATTTATTTATTTTTAATGATTTAACCACAATTTTTAGTTTTTGACCAAGTTAATCAATTTTCTGAATATTATTTTTAATTTATTTTTTTTGGAAAAATTACGTAAATGAGTCATAAAATATAAAATAATTACATATTCATATCCAAATTCAAAATAATTTAAAAATACACATTCTCTCATAAAAAATTACTTCTCATACCCTTTTCTTTATTAACGATGATATGCTTAACTAATACTAAATTAATATCATATATTGTATTAATATCATTTTGATTGACAATTTTACTTAACTGATACTAAATCGGTGTGTGTGTGTGTGTGTATATATATATATATATATATATATATATATATATATATATATATATATATAATAGTGCCAACTCAATAATAACTTATTTGTGCCAACTCAAATTTTGATAAGACGTCTATCGGAAATTTGCTATTTATCTAGTGTTTCAATGTCAAAGTACTATCTTTTAAGGCCTAAGTCATCCCCGACCACTCAAAGTTGTCCGCATAATTCATTTAGACACCTCAACAAACCCCCATACCCATACACCAGTGGTTATTTCTTCCCCCATCATTCTAATGATTTCAAAATTTTTAGTATCAGTGGTTATCATCTTTCCCCACCATTCTAATGGTTTCAAATTCTTAGCATTTTGTTTCATTATAAATTTTTCGAAGAGATTCTTTTCCCCATCTTTCTCTACCTAAAAAACGAGATGAAGTAAAAAGTTATAATTAATAAAAGCTGATGAAAAAAAAATTGTCCGGTTAAAGATGGAACTGTACAGGGAGGGGGAGGGGGTCGCCATTAATGGAGTTAGAGGAAATGCATGTTTTGTTCCAGTGGAAGGCAGGGAGGTGTTTAGGTTTTACTTTTTTTTCTTCATTTTTTTACTTTAAAATAATTTTTATTTTTTACTTTATAATATAATGTTTAAATAATTTTTTGGATTAAAAAATAACACATGTCATTATTTGATTGGTCAAATTGACATGTCAGCGCGAGTGTATTTCACACATTCTTTATTTTTTGTTTATTCTTGAAAAAATGTTCAAATGGTTCAAATTCAGAATGGTTGAAGTGTTCAATAGGTAGTACGTCTAATTGAGGTGTCTAAATGAATAATCGGGACAAGTTTGAGTGGCCGCATATGACTTTGGCCATCTTTTAAAGTCATAAATTTAGAAATTAAAGGTATCTTAATGTGCCATATCTTTAATTAGGCTAATAAGAGTTTGTTCCTGCTCTTTCTCAAAGACAGTGATGGACATAGAATATCGATATTAGATTCATTTGATTTTAATAATTTTAATATAGATTGTAAATTCAATTGGGTATTTATTTCGGTTATTTCCTACCTTACCCTTTCAATTAATTCACAAAATACAAATAATTAAATATAAAATCAAGATTCACTCGATAAGTTAGGTTAAGTCGAAACTCCAATTGGGAGTGTGACATCCTCTATAAGGGACAAGTTTATTTAGGAATTAATTTTTCATGTTATGTGCTATGTAGAAATCAAAACGTATTCAGATAAACGATATTGTCAGAGAATATTTTTTACTAAAATATGAAACTTCTACTTAGTAAATCGAGACATTTATAATATTTTTGGATACTAAAAGACGCTACCTCTGTTAGAGCATATAAAATAATAATATATAAATTAAATATAGTTAATTCAGACAACACGATCGGTTCAATTCTTAACCACATATAATTATTATACTTTGTCATATAAAGCTAATTAGGAATGTGCAATATATAGTTATTTCATTTAGTCTAATCTGCCAACTTAATTAATAACTAGCGGACTCTACTAATGCAAAATTTCAAATTGAACAATACTATAAATAGAGGGAAAATGTTCATTAGTTTTCAGCAATTATAATAATTCAAATAGTAGTTATATTTAAACAAAAAGAAAAATGGGATCGAAGGCAATTTGGCTAATTGTTTTGGCTATTATTCTTGTGACAACATCAAAGGTTGCAGCTAGGAAGTTGGATCAGAGTTCCATCACTTCCTTGAAAAAGGGTTAGCTCGATATATCGTATTTTATGTAAAAGCACTATCGTTTCTCTCATAAACTTTTTTATAAATATGTTGAATCGCTTAAATTGAATCGTAATCTTTTTTCATTGTCCCATTCCTCCTTAATAAAAGCCTAAATTATTTTGTTCATCTAAAAATGAAGTTTTACAGTTAAGTAATATTCAAGAGCTTAATTTCCACATGCACACAAATTTGAGTAAGTGAATTACACAACCTTTTAGTAATCTATGGAAAAAACCTTGCAAAAAATAATATTTTTTTAAAAAAATATTTTATATGATATTTATAGTTTTTTAATAAAGAATAATTTACTATAATATGTGTATGATATCTGGTGCAGGAGAGACAAGTGAGGCAAATGACGCCAAATTTCTCGGAGGAGGGTTTCCCGGAATCGGCGGACTTCCAACAGTAGGAGGAGTATTTCCTGGAATGGGAGGACTTCCAACAATAGGAGGAGGAGGAGGACTTGCCGGAATCGGAGGACTCCCTGGATTGGGAGGACCCTCAGGAATTAGTGGAGGAGGACTTCCAGGAATCGGAGAACTTCCAAAAATAGGAACACTTCCTAAAATCGGAGGACCTTCGGGAATTGGAGGAGGAGGACTTCCAGGTATTAGGAGCACTTCCAAAAATCGGAGGACCTTCAGGAATAGGAGGTCCTCCAGGAATTGGAGGACTTCCCAAAATCGGAGGACCTTCGGGAATTGGAGGAGGAGGACTTCCAGGTTTAGGAGCACTTCCAAAAATCGGAGGACCTTCGGGGAATTGGAGGACTTCCAGGAATAGGAGCACTTCCAAAATTTGGAGGTCCTCCAGGAATTGGAGGAGGAGGACTTCCAGGATTTGGACTTCCTGGAATTGGAGGGAAAGGAGGAGTTTTTAAAACTGAAAGACTCCCTTGATCTAACTAATTAATTATTAAAGAATATCTATGAAGAATATCCAAGGTGGTTATATATATATAGGTAATAATTTTGTTGCTGAAAGTATGAATAAATGTATATGACAAAAGATTGTGTTGGAGTGATAACTAATTTTTTATTTTTAATTAGATGCTTCAAACCTGGATATGCATGTAATGGCTTTTGACAGGAAGCACTTTATCTTTGATGTGTAACTTTTCGATATGAATTTGAATAAACTAGACTCAAATACAAATATCAAACAACACCAGACTGGGAAAAAAACGTATAACCAAATGTATGACCGACATTCATTTACTGGTGATGAATAATTACCATATCATGTTTCTCTATATAAATAACAATTAAATCATGTCACAAAACTTATTACAAGTAATTATCATTCAATTCATTATAATCTTAAAACTAAAATCTAATAAAATTGTTGACTTCACCAACAAGTAGATCGATCCATCAATTATTTTTAATGAGTTAACCAGAGTTTTAACCAAGAAAAATGGTTTTCTCCATATTATTCTTTATTTTTTTATAAAACAAAACAGGTTGAATTTTCTCGAATCTTGACACAAAAAAAATCGATAAATTTTGCAGTTCAATTTATCGATAGCAACAAAATAATTTCTCCGACTTTTAACGCTAAAATAATTGATGAATATTTGTTGATTCCTTCATAAACTCAGATATTACCATATGTTTAATTTTGTCTAATAAGAGTTTGTTACATGTCTTTCTCATAGACATGGGAGGACACATAACTAGATTTATCTAATTATTACTTTTGATGTGGATGTAAGTTTTTGTGTAAAATGTATTTAAGAAAATAGCTAACAGTTAATAAATATGAATTGGTATCTTTAAAGATATAATTGGTTCAATATTCTGGAAAATAGTAAAGAAAATTTATTTCCCCGTTAATTTCTTTTTTTAGTAATAAGGTGAATTTATTGATGTAAAATAAGATACGTAAGTAACTTGCTTTCACCAAGTTGGTTGAAATTTAATTTACTTTCATTATTCAGTTACGATATACTACTTTAGTACGTACTATATATTGAATTGAAATCAGTTTTTCGTGTTATGTTATATTTTATGTTTTTTTTATAATACCATTATGCTATAATAGTTTAAAATAGAATAATTTTTATATATAACAAACATAAAATCATATTTGTATCTTATAGCTACAGTTCGCATAATTGCGCTTCATTACAAACATACATATATGTATTTTTCGCTTACATATATAAAAGAAAATAGTTGTATAATCTGTTTTGGTATAAATACACAAAAGATTAATTATCACAAGTGTATAATACAAAATATATGCATTTGTATTTGTATATACAATTTTCTCTCGCTTTACACGGACACAAACATAATGTATACATTTTTAATTATATAAAGTGAGAGAGGCGAGTGAGCAAATCAGATTTGGGCATAAGTTGAGGAGGTACTTGTGATTTTTCTTATACATAAATATATTATTACTTTAATGATTTCGGGCATAAGTTAAGGGATACTTATACATTTTCTCATACATAAATATATTATTAGTTTAAAGAATTTCTAAACGATTTCTAATATATAAGTTTCATCAAAATATGAGATTATTAATTATAAGAATAAATACTTATTTGTTATACCAAACACAAAACTGTGAATTTACATGTGAATCTCATTTAAAAAAATTTGAGACTAATTAGAGGAGATTTGTGTTTGTCGGAATTGAAAAAGAATATATCTCGTAAGAAAGATAAATTGCCGAAATGTATAAATATTGTATATAAATGTATAAACAATATGCATGCTACGTGGGTATATATAATAGGAAAAATTATATATAATAGCAAATTAATAACCTAAATTAAATGGAATAACTAGGGTTTGATTTAATTGTGCTCCATAGCAAACATTAGCTAAAATTTGCCAGCGTTTCTCTCCTAAAAATCTCGCTCGCCACTCTCCATTATTGCTCGTCTCTCTCGCTTTATACACAGAAGTGTATAATTCTGTTTTTGTTTTGTATAAAGCGAGAGAAAAATGTATATACACATGCAAAAATGGTATATCTTCGTGTTATACACTTAATTATGCAATTTACAAACATTTTACTTCAAATATTGCAGAGAAAAAGGCCAACGAATTATACAATTGCGAATTATACAATTGCAGTGAAATACAATTTTCTCTAGCTTTATACAACAGAAGTGTATATATTGTGTTTCTGTTTTTGTATAAAGCGAGAAAAACATATATCTTCTTGCTATACACTTATAATTATGCAATATACATACATTTTAATTCGATTCAACTGTATGCAAAACAAATTATACAATTGCAGCGAAATAGACCAGCGAATTATACAGTTTTATGTTTGCTATGGAGCACAATTATGCAAAGGTTTGCTATAGCATACAAATATGAATTTTTTGTTTGCTATATGTGAAAGTTACCCACAATAATATATGCACGGTTATACATAATTATTTATAAAATATCGATATATTATTTGTATTATATCAATATATTATGTAACTATTTATACTAAATCATTACATTATTATAATTATTTATACAACAGAAAAAAGAATATATAGTTATGATTTAAAACACAAGTGGAGGAAACAATTCGAAGGAGGAGGAAGCAAGGGGAGTTGTGATTATTTAACTAGCTTGAACGCAATCGATAAGCTCAAACACATTTTTGAATAAACAAAATATGAATAGTTTATAGATGAATAATTGACGATAAAATAATCGAAGGATATTCATTAATTCCTTCATAAACTTAGATTTCATCAAATAAAATAGTATGTTTTTACCATATGTTTAATTTACCTTATGTTTGAATCATTGTAATCCATTGCATTATATTGTCATTTTTTGTTTTAAAAAAAATTGATATGCTATTTATTTATTTTTAAAGAAAAAAATTATCCTTTAACTTTTGAATCATGAAATCTTTCTTTAATTTGTTGTTCTCCAAAGTTAGCCAATAGATCTACTACTAAACCCTAATAAAAACAATAGGTAGAAATTGATCGTTTTCGATTAATAATATTAATTTTCACTCATTTTTATAGTAAAAATATTGCCTTCTCCCAGTCAAAAAGTAGATCAATCATAGTTGAAAATAGTGGATTTTCAACAAAATCTTGTAGATGTTAGGTTTCAAGAAATAACATCTCAATACTAAAAGTCGAATAATTCCATAAATTAATTTGTCAAGTGATTTTTTAAAAATAATTTGCAAAAAATTAATCGAGACGATATTCTTGAACTACACAATTATAAAATGCACAAAGTGAAAATCAAATTAAGAAAATACTTTTCCACATTTTGACACTAAAAAAATCCAACCATGTTCAGCGGTTTCTTTCCAAACAAACAACTCTTTACATGATTGTGTAATTTTTTTAACACTCCAACTCATAAAAATCAATAATATTTTCACTTATCGTTTAATATATCTCAAACTTTATTGATGATGAATGTAATATTTTAAAGATATATAACCATAAAGGAGAATATGGTTACATTAAGATGTCCAAAAGTCGAAAACTAACTCTTTAAAAAGTCTCATGAAAACTGAAATTTAGAAAGGTATCTTATTAAGCCATATGTTTAATTAGGCTAATAATAGTACGCTCCATGTCTTTTTCATAGACAGGGTACGTGTCCAAAATATTGATATCAAATTATTCAGAGGCGTATTTAGAATTTTAGTTAGATAGGTATATAGTTACGAAAAATGTATATTAAATATAAATTTGATTAATATGACTTTTAGGTTTCTTAATATGAACCATAAAATTTTAAAAATTATAGGTCCAAAATATATAATATTACTAATTTTAAATTTTAATATACGCATTTGATTTAATTATGTAAAAAATTTATAGTGCTAATTTATTTTACGAATTTTCAACGCAACACACTTGATACGCCTCTGATACCAATTATATACTTAAGAAATATACTGCTAATTAGGAAAATGGCATATATAATTATTTCCATCAATTATTGTAGATTGCCAATTTAATTAATAAAACTAGTTTGGTACACGTACTCTACTAAATGCAAATTTTCAATCTTAGCCCACACGAAATTCAAATGATTAATGCTATAAATTGAGGCAAAATGTTTCATTAATTTTTCTCATTCTTCTTATAATTATTATTAATTCAAGTAGAATTTATATTTAATTATATATAGTATTGAAATGGGATCAAAGGCATTCTTGTTAATTATTTTGTCTATTTTTCTTGTGATAAGCTCAGAGGTTGCATCTAGGAAGTTGGCTCAGAGCTCCATCACTTCCCTCGAAGAGGGTAAGCTTAACCACTTGTATTTTATGAAATGATGTTATTGCTTGAAAAGTCAAATTATATATATAAAAATTGTTATATATAGCTTTTATCGCGAATTATTTCCTATAGTTTATTATTACAAAAATTTTAAGAATTTAGAGGTCGATTTTAACATGTCTATGTATGATTATTTTTGTAGGGTTAGCGCTTCCACCAATAGGAGGAGGACTTCCAGGAATCGGAGCACCTATCGCGACGAGAGGAATGGTTGATAAAGAAGGACTTTTAGGAATTGGAGCACCTATTGGACTTCCATGAATTAAAGGAGTAATATTTTTAGGTATAAAGCTGAATTAGTCGAGCAATAAGCGAATATTAAATCTCAAAATTGAAAAATAAAAAATAATATGAATCATAAATCTTCATTCATTTATTATGTATGGCTGGATGGATGGTTATGATATCTCTTTTTATAATAAAAAAGTAATCTCAGAGGGCTTAGGGATCATAAGAATAACGTTGAATAGGGTAATGCTCGCACTAGCAATGTTGGTGTAGTTATGTAGCAGTTATTTCTTATGCACAACATAATTTTAATTTTATTTATTTATTTATAAAATTACGCTCAATATTGATGCATTTATTAAAATCTCTTACATTTCTAATATCATGAATTTTAATACATAAAAAATGAACAACTTTGAATCGAACTAACACATTAGGGAACTCTAGTACTGAAGAATTGGACCTGGAGAGGTTCATGAAGTATTTGGGCTTAATACAGTGTGATACTATTTGAATATTTTCTAAGAGAATCGAAATATGAAAAAAATATATAAACACACGAAAAAAGAGATTTAGTGTAGGGTTCATAGCAGTGCACCATTCAATTTTCTTTTAAAAAAATTATAGGCGCCTAAGAATTATATAAA